TCTAACGTGAGGATGAGTTCATTTCATTATGCTGCTGGGCTTAAAATGAGCCCTTGTAGAGGCAGAGTGATCTCACTGCCATCAAGAGAGAAGAGCCTGAGGGGGAGTGGAATGTGTCCTTGGACCTGAGACCTCCTTGGACCCATGATCCCTACGCTGGACATCCTTCACAGAAAGATAGCAGAGATCACTGGCTGAGACAACCTGCTGAGGAACCAAAAGGCATGAGACAGAGTGCCGGGCCTGCCAGCCCCCAGAGTGAGAAAGCTGCGTGCCCCTGGGCAGGAGGCTTGCTGGTGGAGTGGGGTGCACCCAGGTGTACCTATCGGCAGAGCTAAAAGAGCTTTGTGACACTTGCCCGAGTAGGGCAGAGGCCAGGCCGAGAGGCCGAGGGCCAGAGAGAGGTGAGTCTGAGGGCACAGCAGAGAGGAGACCGTCCTGATCGAAGAACTGTATCCTGAGAGCGTTCCTGAACCTGAGTTGTAGCCTGTTACTTTCTCTAATAAACACCACATCATAAGTGAAGTCTTTGAGCTCTGTGTGGCCACTGCAAGGAATTATTATTGAACCCAGCAGAGAAGCAGTGAGTGCCGTGAGAGGGATGGTTGGTGTCAAAGGTGGTAAAAAGGCTGGAGGGTGGTGGCCTGTCTGGCCTCATAGGCATCAGCCTTGGGCTGCTGTTGGTGATTCTGTCTCCCTCTTGTGAAGTTAGAGGAGGTCAGTAGTGGTGCAAATAGTGATTGTGCTTGGCTGCTTAACCAGAAGGCTGCAGGTTCGAGTCCATTCAAAGGTACCCTGTTTCTGAAAAGTGAGCGTGCGGAGCACAGCTCCACTCTGACACATGGGAAGTGGCCACGTGGCGGCTCCACTGGATGGTAACTGTGTTCTGGGGGGCCCTGGAGACACGTGTGATGCAGCAGCAAAAGCACAGGCTCTGATGCCAGACAGCCTTGGATTCAAGTCCTGCCTGGAACACATTATGAGCTCAGGGGGTTGGACATGTTCTTGAATCTCTCTGTGCCTCAGTGTTCTCATCCATAAAAGGACGTGGGACACACACACATGTGTGGTTTCCTAATTCTCCATCCACTCAGGGGTGTCCATGCTCCTGGGGACATGGCACACACTAACCAAGTCTGTGACAGGCGTATTGATGGACCCAGATCTTAATTCACTGGTTTACAGTGAGAAATCGAGCTGTCATGGAAACCAGGACACGTGGGCCAGTGGTGTCCCCTGCTTGTGGCTACTTGGGCCTCAGTTTCCTCATCTGTAAAATGGGAAGAATTTAGGAATAGCCATATGGGAAGGTGGGACAATCTACTTCCGTAGTGATACTGCCTTGGAAACCCAAGGAGGGGTCGCTATGGGTCGGATCCGACTCCACGGCAATGGTTGCCTTGCTTGCCCTTTATGGGGAATTAAGAATTAAAAGGGATGACTAGAAACAATGTTAGCTGTCTTTCTTTCCCTTTCTTTATCATTCACCCCTGTCCCCCCTATCATGGGAAACCCAAACAGGGCTGACTGTAATAGTTGACGGGGCCAAGTGGATGATCCAGGGCCCCCAGCCCTCCACAGGGAAGGCCTGAGCTGGGGATTGGATTACCTGGGCTGCACTGGACACCCACTGCCATGATACTTACTCTTTGGTTATTCCTTAAAGTGACCACTCCTTGGTCACTACAACCTGGTGAGCAGTCTCGGGGCCCTGGACTAGCCAGGCTCCCGTGAATAAATTGAGGACACACCCTGATCCCTGGGACAGGGGTGGTCACTCACGGATCTCAGCCGGATCCCTGCTCCTCGGCTGCTTACCCTTTACCCAGTCCTGTCCAGTCGATATTGACTCATACCAACACTATAGGACAGAGTTGAACTGCCCCATAGGGTTTCCAAGGCCGTAAGTCTTTATGGAAGCTGCCACATTGAGTGGCTGGTGGGTTCCAACCTTTTGGTTAGCAGCTGAGTGCTTAGGCACTGTGCCACCAGGGCTCCTTTTGTCTGTTTTTTGTTGCTGTTCAGTGTCCTGTGGTCTCCCCTGGCTCACAGTGACCCCATATGCAACAAACCAAACAGTGCCCATCCTGCGCCATGGTCACAATGGTTCCTGTGTTTGAGCCCATTCCTGGGGCCACTGGTCACTCCATTCTTCAGCATCTTCCTCTTTTTCACTGACCCTCTATTTTACCAAGTCTAAGATCCTTTGTCAGGGACTGGTCCCTCCTGACAACATGTCCGAAGTACATAAGACAAGTCTCGCCATCCTTGCATCTAAGGAGGACTCTGGCTGGACTTCTTCCAACACAGATGTGTTCTCCTGACAGACCCAAATGGGCACGTTGTTGTTGTTATGTGCCATCGAGTGGGACCTGACTCATAGCGACCCCTCCTTGGGTTTCCGAGGCAGTATCACTACGGAGGTAGACTGCCCCATCTTCCTTCCGAGGAGTGGCACATAGTAGGTGCTTATAAATGTGAGCAGACGGGACAAAGATGGCCATCTCTGACGGAGTGCGCCAGACGCGCGAGCAGTTGCTCTAAGGATGCTCTGATCCTAAAAGCCACCTTGCAGGGAGGGCTGCACCGTCTTCCCACTGTACAGGTCAGGCACTGAATCCCACAGGGGTTTCGCTGTTGCGCAGGCTCACACTGGGGGAACAATAACAATGCCGGGAGGTGAAACTGCGCGCCCGGCTCCAAAGCCTGCCTTCCCGCCAGGCGCGCATCTCCGCCTGCGTAGATGCCGCAGGTAAAGCTCAACCACGGTTCTGGCGCAGAGGGCGTCCTTCCGAGTCCTGCATGGGAAGCTCCGGGGAGGTCGCCTGAGGACGGTCTGGGGCGACACTCGTGGCTTCAGCCCGCTTCCCGCTCCAAGCTGAGAGTGGACGGGACGCTGGGAAGCGTCTGGCGCAGGGCCTGAAGCACAGCTGACTCTCAGTAAAGACTACGGAGTGGCGGTTGCTGCAAGCCGACATTTGAGGGCCGCTCCGCGGGGACCGAAGACTCGAGCGGCCCGGCGCTCAGCAGTGGCGACCCCACCTGGGCGGGCGTGGGGGCGGGGCTCGGGTGCAGCCATTCAGCGCGCGGGAGGCGCGGCCGCTCCGACCTGAGGAGGCGGCGCTTGCGCAGTGGGCGCCCTCCCCGGGAGC